ATATATATATATATATATATATATATATATATATATATATATATACATATACATATAAATATACATATACATATACATACACATACACATACACATATACATATACACATATGTATAAATATACATATACATACACATATACATACAAATACACAGGCACAGACACATACACATACGCATACACATTCTTGTACACATATACATGTACATATATACATATGTTCATACTAGATTCTCTCCCACCCACATATACAACCACTACAACACGTCTAACGTACCAGGATCGGGCAGCTTGATATTAAACGGAGGCACACATTCGGGGCTATCCTCAGGCACAACGCATTCGATAGTATTTGAAGGGAAAGACCTCTTCAGGTGTTTGATATCCACAAATGTATCGTTGACGTTGAAGGTGCGTGTAGGTTGCTTCATCTCTGTGTGACGGTAATGCGCCATGGCCGGATCACCGTAACCCAAGAACACATCATGCAGCCACTCTGGTACCAAGCACTGTGGGGAGTGGGGGGTATAGCACACGCAGCTATGAGTACTGTCGCATGATCACAACAAGGTATGAACGTCTACGAATGTGCATGGAAGTAGTGCGTTGAGCGTGTTGTTTACATGGAAGTAGTGTGTTGAGTGTGTTGTTGACATAAAAGTAGTGTGTTGAGTGTGTTGTTTACATGGAAGTAGTGTGTTGAGTGTGTTGTTTACATGGAAGTAGTGTGTTGAGTGTGTTGTTTACATGGAAGTCGTGTGTTGAGTGTGTTGTTGACATAAAAGTAGTGTGTTGAGTGTGTTGTTTACATGGAAGTAGTGTGTTGAGTGTGTTGTTTACATGGAAGTAGTGTGTTGAGTGTGTTGTTTCATGGAAGTAGTGTGTTGAGTGTGTTGTTTACATGGAAGTCGTGTGTTGAGTGTGTTGTTTACATGGAAGGCGTGAGTCGAGTGTGTTGTGTTTATGGAAGTAGTGTGTTGAGTGTGTTGTATATATAAAATTAGTGTTGAGCGTGTTGTTTACATGGAAGGTGTGTGCTGAGCGTGTTGTTTACGTGGAAGTAGTGTTGAGTGTGTTGTGTTTACGGAAGTAGTGTGTTGAGTGTGTTGTTGACATGGAAGGTGTGTGTAGCTTCCCTCATCATCCATTGTGCGGCGGTAGTGGTAGTGTGCCATAGCTGGATCACCCCGACCAACACCCCGCGAAGCCCTTCAGGATTTCGCGATCGCATACCTGCACATTCATCAGATTCCTGATGGTCTCGAGCACCGCTTTGAAGTTGTTTTCTTTTGCCTGCCGCCTCATGAGCAGATTCACTCCTCCATAAATGTCCACACCCCCGTTGTTCAGCGCCTGGATGTCCTGGTAGTACTGGTTGGTGTCCAAATATACTCGCAAGGTGCGTGTGCTGCCTTTAAACTCGGGTTTTTCGGGCCCGTCTTCGATGATACTACCGGATTCGTCCAGCATACCCTCTACTTCACATCCACGTACGAATCTGTGGGTATGGACAGGTACGATATCAACACTTGACCGTTTACATGTACATAGCCATATATTCCAACATGCACTGTATACACTAGCTTACGACACGAGTATATTTAA